GCACAGTTGGGGTTGTGCAAAGGAATAACTGCAATTTTATCCAAGGGACTATTCCTGTAAGATCTCTAACTTGCTTTCCATCTGTAATCCCTACTTTTTCTTTTTTTTCCAAGACAGGGTTTCTCTGTGTAATAGCCATTCCTACATGGAACTTGCTCTATAGACCAGGCTGGTCTCCAACTCACAGAGATCTGCCTGCCTCTGCCTCCCAAGTGCTGGGATTAAAGGTATGTTTCACCATTACCTGGCTGAAATATCTACTTTCTCAAAGTATTCTCGGATTTAATTAATCACCAGCTGTCTTAAATGGGAACATGGATAGTCCTCAATACAAGAAGAAAAAAGAAAAGTAAAAACCAGTGTATTAGGAATGTTCTGATGCTAAGGTGGAAGGGAGAATCATCTAAATTCTACCCCCACCCCCACCAAATGTCAAGGTACTGAGTGTTTCTGGTGGATATTAGTAGGAGGGAGCATTGTGAGCTAAACCTTCCCTGTGTACCAAAGGTCGCTGATTTTATACCTTGCAATTAGGTCAGATGCAGAACACATTTCTCATATGGTCCTGTTTTTATGACTAGTGACTGCTGAGGATTTCTGCTTACTATATTCTATATTCTGTATTCAGTTTGGCACCTACCATGAATAACCACATTAACTTATTTTATGACTGGAGCTTTGAGGCCTGAATGTACTCATGGCTCAGAGACCTACCAATGTTCTCATAAGCTCTGTGCCAAAAGATCTTGGAGTTTTGGAGCCTCAGCCCACCCCGCCCTCCACACACACATAAAAGGCAATGGAGGAAGGCTGGGGAGATTAGCCCATAAAGCACTTGTCTGGGGGATCAGTAGTGCTTGTACAAAGCTAGATTTGGGGATCCTATGCCCTGTGCTGTGACAGCTGAGACAGAAGTACCCATCCCTCAAGCTCAGTCTAGGCATCCCAGCAGAAGGGCTGAACTCCAGGGTTAGTGAAAGACCAAAAAGATAAAGTGGGGAGCGACTGAAGAAGACAGCTATCACCAGCTTCTGGCCGCTGCCACACCCGTGTGCACACATGTTCATGCCTCCTTCCCCCAAGTGCATACACACAGACACGTACAGAGGAGACAAGACAAGGTCTGGGGGGGGGGGGGACACAAGTGTTTCCTCACTGGAATACTTGCCTGATGTGGTAGGAGACATCAAGGACACTGAGGTACGGAAGGTAGACTAGACGGGAGAGCTAACCTCTAGCACCTAAACTGGAGACAGTGTGTCATGGCTGTTGGATACCAAGCTTATAAGGCCTTGCATAGTTTAATTCTGTCCACTGGGGGGGGGGGGAATCCTGTAATGACTGAGATGGAAGTAGTTAATAAACAAGAGGAAGATCCTGTATTGACTTCACAGAAGCCCCGTGCTATTCTTTCTTGCTTGAGGATGGTGTTGGACCACTCATCTGACTGTGGTCTGATTAGGGCTCTTCTGGGGTGGGAATGAGTAATACGGCTGGGTGGGCAGGATTGCCATGGTAACAAAGGAAAAGCAGAACAGCAGACCTTTAGAACTGAAGGCCTTTGCTTCTTGGTGCCTTTCATACCCACTTGTCTCTGTTTCCTCTGTGGCTGCCTTTACCTTAGTAGTACTCTAATGATGTCACTATGAGTTAAGTTATGTTTGGCAACAATGGGTTCTCTTGCTAGGGGAAAATGTTTGAAGCCCATGACACTCTATTGCATAATCTGCTTGCTCAGAGCTCTGGCCCCTCCCAGCACAGGCGGGCATCCCTCTCAAGCTACCATGAGAGTGAAGCAGGCCAGGAACCAGAGAAGCAGGGAGTGGTTGGGGTTGTGGCAAACTAGAAACAGTGTGTCCTCTCCAAACAGGGAGAAAAGTATTGCAGAGCTGCTCATGTGGACCTGGAGGCCCACAGTAAAGCTGATACCACGGCTCCCGGGTCTTTCACGGCAGAAAATGGAAAGCATGAAGTTCAAATAATACACATATAACTAGTGTAGCTGTAGACAGTCTGCAGTTTCTGTAATCTGGAGCTCTGACAAAAGCAGGACCTTTCACCCTTTCCTCCTCCTCCCTTTCTCTCTCTCTCTACTTCTAGTCCTGAAAAGGGAATATGATGTACTCAGTACATTTTGGGACAGATTGTGTCAAAGGACAAATCTATGGCTTGGCTGACCCTAAATTAGGTTCCCACCCTTAGTCCTAAAAGGGCTACCTAAGAGTTACCCTTCATCTGAAGTCTGGTTCGGGCCGAGTTCTATTTCAGAGAGTGGCATGGCAAACTCTACAGAGATATGTTTAATAAAGAACTAGCTAGCAGCCCACCAAGTGAGTGCTTAAATGGAATAATCGGTGTTGAATGTTCCCAACAAGATTCTTGCTTTTAGTTAGGAAAGACAGCGTTAGAGAAGTCCTGATTTACACCAAAATACTGGCTTCTCATTTTAAGATTCTGTTTACAAAATTAGCAGCACTAAGTTGGTTGTGGTATGGATAGCCTATAATCCCTTCATTCAGGAGGTGGAGGAAGGGGAACCTGGAGTTCAAGGTTATCCTAGGCTATGGGAGTTAAACACCAGCCTCAACAAACAAACAAGCAAGCAAGCAAACAATCACAAAGTTAAATTAGGAAAACTTCAGGCTAAACCTCTTTAAAACTTGCTCCCAATCCCTGGATACTTTTTCATGGCCCCTCCCCTTCTTCACTGTGAATACTTACCAGGAAAGTACTTTTCCCACTCATCCTTGAACTGCTCTAGTAATTAATTTCCATCGGGCCCCCCACCCCCATTGCACAACGCCCTGCTCATCAGAGACAGTCAGTATGGAATGAAATTTATTCAAGGATTTATTCCCCCGGTGTATATCATGGACGTATTATGTGCCTTGCACTTGTCTAGGAACTTGAACAATATATATCAATGAGCAACAGGAATGGCTCCTATATGTAGATAGGTGGGAGAGACTAACTTTAGGAAAATTAATTAAGGTAATACATAATATTTTACAAGGTAATGGGTGTTAAAGGGGAAGGAGTGGAGTGAAGGGCACTGAGAAGAAGGAATACATTGCAATTTTATTTTGAGACATCATTTCCTTGCACAGCCTGGTACTGCTTCCTAGTGCCGTGTTTACAGGCAGATGGAATAAAGTAGGTCTCCTCGAACAAAGAGCTGTAGGGGAGGAGCCCTGGAAAGGGAAATGCCTGGGCTCAAGGCTATCCTTTCCCTACAGTAGGATAACAGTAATAACAGCACTCTGTTTTGTGAGTTCCTGTAGAAGTCTATGTACTTCCTCAGTGTGAACTCCATAAATCCTTATCAATGACCCTGAGGTACCTATTATGCTTATTCCCATTTCAAAGGAGTAAACTGAGGCCCAGATCTTCTGTAAAGGAATAATATCCTGAGGCTAGGAAGGAGGTGGTGAATATACCCTGCCTTGCAGCGGCAGGCTTTTGGCTTTCTCCTTTTCCTCTTCTTCATTCTCCCGTTCTCCTACTTTTTCATTCTTTCTTTCTTTTCTTTTTCTTTTTTTCTGAGACAGGGTTTCTCTGTGGCTTTGGAGCCTGTCCTGGAACTAGCTCTTGTAGACCAGGCTGGTCTCGAGCTCACAGAGATCCACCTGCCTCTGCCTCCAGAGTGCTGGGATTAAAGGCGTGTGCCACCACCGCCCAGCTCCGCCTTGAAATGCAGACCATGCTGACTTTGAACTCGCCAAGATCTAATTCGCCAGCGCGGGACATGAGGGCCTCTGTCACCCTGTTGGCCAGGCCAGCCTTTGATTCTTGGCCACTTCCCAGCTCCCCCAGGCTTTCTGCCTCCTGCACGAGGCTGTGCACCCTCCTGAACCATACAAGAGATGCTTAGAGTGAGATTAAGGGCCTTCTGTCATCTTGGGGGTTCTTTTCAGAATCCTTTAGATTTCTCTCGTGTGTCCCTGGGGCTCATAGATTTCTCCACACCCACAGCTTAATGCAAAGGCTTCATAGGGTTACAGTGACCAAAGCAAATTCATACTTAGTTTTAGCCAAAAAAGGGCACATGCATCTTTTCCTTCATCAAATGTCACTGTGGTTTTACAGTTTACATGTTAATATGAGGTCGGACAGCTCTTTTAAAAGTAGTTCCTGCTCAACCACAGGGCAAAATTATGCAAGCAGGGAGTCCTGCAAACAGCTGAATAAAAGGACTGGTTTTTTTTTTTTTTTTTTTTTTGAGACTAGGGTCTATGTAACACAGGGTGGACTGGAACTCATTGTGTAAAGCACAATGTCCTACACTCTTGGTCTTCCTACCTCTACCTCCAAAGTGCTAAAGTGCTTCTCAACCTTCCTAATGTGTGGCCCTTTAATACAGTTCCTCATGTTGTGACGACCCCCAACCATAAAATCATTCCATAAAATCATTTCCGTGCTACTTTATAACTGCAATTTTGCTACTGTTATAAATCATAATGTAAATATCTGATATGTAGGATGTCTTATATTCAGGATATCTGATATGCGACCCCCAGAGGGGTAGTGACCAACAGGTTGAGAACTGCTGTGCTAAGATCACGGTGCTCGGCCACCAGCTCGAATTCTCAGCACCTACCAAATAACCAACAACAAGAAAATAATTTACATCTTTTTTCTTTTTTGGTTTTTACGAGACAGGGCTTCTCTGTATTGTTTTCGAGGCTGTCGGTCCAGCCCAGCCTCGAACTCACAGAGATCCGTCTGCCTCTGCCTCCCGAGTGCTGGGATTAAAGGCGTTTACATTGTTTTTAAACTTCCGAATTGGTTGTTTTTTTTTGTGGTTTCAATTCTGAAGACCTGTCGTGTTCGTGAGACCTTTGCCTGGAAAAAGAATCCCAGATAATTAAAGTCGTTTTGCAACACTAAGGAAGAGACGCAAACCAGTGTGGAATCAGTTTGAGAACCTTTCCTTTAAAACACATTTCGCGCGTGTGCGCCCCAAAGCAGCAACAAAAACCCTCTCAGCCTCACGAATGTTCTGCAGGTCTCTGCTCTTTTTTATCTGGTCACACAAACACCTCTGGGCTCCCGGGCAGTTTCTCATTGTGGGATTAGCCGTGGGAGGCCAACCTCCTCTTGGACGAGGGAAAGGTGTTGCGGAGTTCCCTAGACTTGCAGCATCCTCCCCTGGTTTTTAGGACCACGAGCTGAAACCGTTGAAGTGGATTTAAGCTCAGGGTGCCCCGCCTCCCCTCGGTGCGGGAGAGGAGGCGTGGGACGGGGTGAGGTGAGGCGGGGGCGTTGGAGAGAAACTAGAGCGATAAGCACCGGACAGGAAAAGTGGGAGGAGGTGGGGGAGGAGAGGAGGCGGCCGTAAGTTGAGAGAGGAGGGAAACAGTCACCAGCCACTCCGGGAGCTACTCCGGGGAGAGGAGGCCGGGCTGGACGCGACCAGGCGTAGGGCAGAGCTGGGAGAGGACCCAGGGAGGGAGAGCAAAGCGAGAACCATCCTGATCGCTTGTTTATCTCCAGCGAGAAAACTTTGTCTGGAACGCCGGAAACTTTTTCCTGCGCGCGCAGTGTCTGGGACGGAGGCGAGCGGCGGCTGTTGCGCGGCTCGGCCCCGGTGACTCACGCCGGGGACCCCAAGGGGGTGAGTGGGGAAGTCCCTGGAGGGCCTGGAGTCATCCATCCTGCAACTTCACAGGCTTGGGAAAGAACTCGGCGGGCGTGATCTGGTGGTGGGAGTGGGGGCAAGGGGGCAGAGTCTGAGAGGAGGCTCCGCGTGGTTAAGGAGCCTTCTCTTTGGATGCTGAGGTCGAGGAGGTAGACCACCAAGAAGTGGGTAGGGAAGGGGCAGACCACCCACCCTTGGCGTAGTGGGCCACGGTGGGCGAGGAAGCGGTGTGAATGCCTTTGGGTGATGCTGCTGATTGTGGGTCCCATAGCTAGCTAGGAGGCAGAAAAAGAGTACACGTGTCTGTTTCATCCTCCCACAGCCCGAGGGGCATATCTACAGAGCTATGGGTGCTCAGGGGGCGACTCAGACGCGAAACCAACCCTCACAGCCGTCGCCTTCTTTCCTGGAGGGAGGCGTGGGAGCCGAGGCAGCACAGGGCGGCTTCTTGGTTTCCGAGCACTGGGCAGGCCATTGTAGCTAGGCGACAGCTCGCGGGAGACCTGGCCCCTGGTGGCGGGAAGCTCCGGACAGCTCACTGCTACTTAGCTCTGAGCGCCCGCAGTGTCCCCTTTCCGCTTCGTCTTTCGCGCCCGCGGGGCGTTGGGCCGGGATTTCCTCCACGCGCCTCGTGTGCACACTGCGCGTTTTGCGCGCAGGGGGCGCTGTGGGGCCCGCATATTTGTGACTCTCGGTTCTCAGGGCTCCCGCCCAATCTTCCCTGGGCTGTGACGAGGACCAGGTGTACTTGGGAAGTGTCCTTCGTGAATAGATTATAGGGTACCACCTTCCTGGGCAATAGGGGTTTCCCCGATTTCTACTGTCGCCCTGCGGGGGATCACATGCCACCGCCGCCTCTTCCTCCGCGGTGCCAGAAGCCCGCGTTTTGCTTGTCAGCAGTAAAGTGGAGAGTATTTATAGACGCCACTGCAATCCTGCGGTGTGCAAGGTTTCAATTACTGCGCTGCATCACGCCCCACAAGACTAGATGCTTACGCGCGCCGACTCAGCTACAAGTCTGCTGCGGAGACCCGCATGGAAAAAAATCTTCAGGCATCCAAAACTGTTAGTTTTGGAATCCTTGCCTAGATGACACATGTAAATTAAGAAACCCATGATAAGGACCACAGCCGTCCAGGACAAGCTCGTTTCATCCTGTCAGTCTCTTCCCACTACTCCTCTGCCATCTTCCAGCATGGCATCGAACAGACTCCGAGACTGTGCATTTGACCATCTGTTAGTGATCTTGACAACTTAATATTTGGAGAAATAGTATTTCTTGCCCCATATACTCAAAATGTCTTTGTTAGTTCTATTAAGTTGCTCTGGAGATAGAAGACGCAGTTAACTAATAACATCAAGCTGTAGAAGAATCAGGATAGAAATGAAGTTTATGGAAATCAGCTCAGCCACATATTAAAATTAGCCCTAGTGAGTGAGGTTCCTTATGCACCTGAAGAGAGTGCCACGCTTTGCCAGGCAGAACCGGGTGAGGGAGTCCTCTCATTGCAGTACTGAGGTCCAGAAAGGACCAGTGCGCCTATGGAGGAGCCTTCTGTAGCATGTTGCCTTCCACAGAAGGCTTTGCAGGCTGTGGCTTTGCAGGCTGTCCTGGAACTCACTCTGTAGACCAGGCTGGCCTCGAACTCACAGAGATCCGCCTGCCTCTGCCTCCTGAGTGCTGGGATTAAAGGCGTGCGCCACCAATGCCCGGCATTTAAACACTTATATTATATATTTATAATTATATATTTAAATTAGAAACAAGCTTGCTTCCCATGTCAGTCCCAGATCCCTCTCCCTCCCCTCCATGCACGCTCCCCCCCAGTGCCCCCAGCCCCCCACCCAATCCCCACTCCATGGGGGATCTCTAGAGTCTGTCATTTTGTTCCCCTCCCCCAAGTGTCCAGATTGAGAGAGCATCCCTCATTGTGGGATGGGCACCCAAAGTCCATTTGTATGCCAGGGATGAATACTGATCTACTATCCAAAGCCCCATAGATTGTCTAGGTCTCCTCACTGACACCCACATTCAGGGGGTCTGGATCAGTCCCATGCTGGACTCTCAGCCATCAATCTGGGGTCAAAGATCTCCCCCTTGTTCAGATCAGCTGTTTCTCTGGGTTTCACCAGCCCAGTCTTGACCCCTTTGCTCATCACTCCTCTCTCTTGTCACTGGGTTCCAGGAGTTTAGTTCAGTGTTTAGCTGTATGTGTCTGCCTCTGCTTCGATCACTTACTGGATGAAGGTTCTAGGATGGTATGTAAGATAGTCATCAAAATCATTATCAGGGAGGGACATTTAAAGTAGTCTCTAGTTTTTTAAACACACTTCTCACAGCTGGACCCATTAATGTGTAAATGAAAGTTGGTATTATATATAAGCCTGCTTATATTAAGTCTAACCTAAGTCTAGCCGGTTTCTGAACATTGAAGCTCATCTCTTTCAGATTTCGGAGGGCCATGGGTGTGTATTTGTTTCAATAGGTGTGATTTTAGTTAGCAGTTATCTTTAATGTTGAAACAGTAAGAAAGACCTGCTTCTGAAAATGGGACATTGTAAATACTTCTTCGTGCCTTACAATAATACTTTGGTAATATTACATCTTCACCAAAACAGTAGAGCACTACTGCATGCCCATTGAATAGGTGAGCACACTGAGGCTCAGAGACTATATAAGTAGTCTTAGGCTACATGCACAGGGATGGGGCTCAGAATAGATTGCCATTCTAGGTTTGGAGGCTGCAGATGTCTTCCCCTTTCGTGGAATTCCCCAGATGTTCACTAAATGATGGTATAGTTGATTACATTTTTGTATGTATGTATGTATGTGCTCTGTGGTGTGTTATGTCTTTATGCACATGTATGTTGTGTTGCTTATGTGTGTGTGTGTGTAGAGGCCAGAGGTCAATATCTCTGTCTTCCTCAGTTGGTTTCTATTTTGTTTTATGAGTCAGGGTCTCTCACTGATTCTGCTAATTGGCTGGCCAGCGAGTCTCTGGGTCTTCCTTTCCACAGCTGCCCACAGCTGCCTTCAGGCCTGGCTTTTTACTGAGTTCTGGGAATCCAATTTGGGTTCTCATGCTTGTGTGGCAGGCACTTTACCAAGGGAACTGTTTCCCTAGCCCACATGCTGTGTTGCCCCTCCCCAAAGGGCATAGAACACACAATTACTGAAAAAGCCCTTCATTTTGTCTTAGAATACCATTGCAATGTCCACCTGAGAACTTGACACCGAGAAAACATACCTGTGTGCTCTCTCTGCAGCTTCCTCATTAACTTAGTGTATGTTCAACATTGAATCCCCTCATCTGGAGGAGGTGCAACCTGGAACAACCCTTGTGATCCTTCAACTCTGTTCACATTCCTCTGTCCTGTTGATACGGTGTTGTGTCCCTGTGATACAGCCCTTGTAACAGGTGAAACAGATGCAAAATCTTTCCTGAATTGCAGGCTTTCTCTCTCTAGTCCTTTTCGCAGAACCAGACCGGCATAGGATTGATTTGAGAGCTAGCCGGTGAGTCTCTGTGATGGAGCTCTTACGATGCTGTCATCTCCCAAAGGCTTGGTCTGTAGAGCTGCCTGCCCCTATGCAGACTGTAAATATGTTACAGTCAGTGCTTATAGATAATGTCCATTTACTTACACAGCAGAGTGAACTAATACCTCTGTGGCTGAAATACGACGGGAAGATATTTTGTGTACTCTGTCCAGGATCCAGGGTTCAGAATTTAGAAGCAGTGCTACCCTAGTAAGCAGGAGGCTTTGCTTTTATAAGGGAAGATTCCACATTGGAGTCGAGAAGGGGACTGGGGACACAGATGACACAAGACAATGACAAGCCTTCAGAGATCAACTTGACATAATTCACATGTTGGCAGACTCCCAAGTTCTCAAGATGGTGGTAGTGGTTTATGAGGTGGTTTCTGAATCAGGAGTGAATGTTCCTGCTCCATGGGGAATCTACATTGGGGAAAAAGGAGGTCATGGGACTCAAAGGCCTCAAGGGATAGTCCCATGGAAGGAATGGAATATAGAGAACAATTCTAGATTAGTCTGGGAAGCAGTGGCCCTAGCTCACACAGCCAAATAAGACTTGGTGAGTGACATGCTGGATGCAGTTCTCAGAGGGGAGCAGTGGGAAAGTGAGTCCCCCACCTCCTGGGAGGATCTTTTGTTGTTCTGCACCAGCTTATAGCCGTAGATGTAAGGGAGCCCGTGAGACCTGTTTCCATTTTAATTGGACTTGGCCCTTTGAGGTAACAGTCACTCAATCTCTCTTTAAATATTCTTTTCTTATGCTTTGCCAGTTTATAGCCTTTGTAGATCAATGCTTGGGTTTCATTTAGGAGAAAGAGAAAGAGAGGGAAAAAAGCCCAGAGGTTAGTCATTACCAAATTGGATTAAGTTCTGTCTAGCAGCGTTTAAAGAAATGCTGCTTGCTCTCTAATTACCATTAACTAGGAATTTAAACACTCTATTAAATTGAAGCTGGCAACCTTGCAGTATTTTTAGTTGTAACATATTCTAGAATTTTAGAAACTTTTATGTAGTATATAAATGTGTAGAGGTACTCGGTATATATGTATATCTCTCTATTCAGGTCTTCCATTGCCATAGCAGGTAATGCATGGCATTGTGAAAAGTGAGAAGTTCATGACCAGGTTTAGCCAATTGCAGAAGCCTCCGCAGCCTCTGGAGAACCAAGTTCACCAAGGCAGCCTAGAAGGGTGTTGAAGAATGATGAACTGTCCAGATGACTCTTCCTCTTTTGACTGTGGTCTATGGGAGGACCTGGCAAACATTTGCCTTGCTGCTATCCATCCATCATAATTACATGTGCAATATACTCTGCATGTAATTATGTGTTACATCGAATTGTATATTTACTCATGTCTTTCTCTGCTCTCATGCTCCCTTCTCGGTTCAGAAGTGTCAGCAGAAGCATCTCACACGTTTCATGCTCAGGTGTACCCTCGCTCTTCAGCAATGCCTACTGTTTCTCGCTCTTCTTACTTTTTCCAACCTTGCTGGTGCTTTTGACACTGGCTGAGTTCTGGGTTTTGTGGAGGGAGTTCACGAATTTGAGGATTAAAGAAAGAACTATGTTGGGTGCCTTTATCTGTTTGGAGCCCTGAGAAATTTGTCAGTTTAAGCAGAACCTGGAACAGCAGCTAAAGGTTTGTTTCTGTCTCCTTGCTCAAACCTACCTCTGGCACTGAAATGTGTCTGAATTAGCCTGCTCTAAGCGGCCTCAGACCCTGTCACAACCTGCCCCTGACCTCAGCAGCATCGCTCCTCAGGGTAAACCCTTTCATACTTGCTGTTGAGTGCTTCATAAATCCTTTGGAAGTGACTCATCCTTTCCCGGATGTCTCCGGGAGACGAAGTCAACTTCTGCAGTCATTTGGAGAACTCTGAAGATCAGGCAGCTGCCTCTCTGCTCCCCTCATGGAGCCCTTTGGCTATTTTCCTTGTGATGTTTGCAGGCAAAACTAGTGAGTGGAGTTGGTTATTCTGGTGTTTGAAATGATTACAACAAAACAAAACAAAAAACCCTTTCCCTACCAGCAAGATAATAAATGTCTTTTAGATCGGCCACAGAAAAATGCTCAAGGCATACCTTTTACACACACATACACACACACACACACACACACACACACACACACAGAGAGAGAGAGAGAGAGAGAGAGAGAGAGAGAGAGAGAGACAGACAGACAGACAGACAGACAGACAGACAGACAGACAGGGAGTTCTTGTGGTGCTGTGAGATGGCTTCTATCTACTCGTGGGAGCTTCTGCTCTGAGTCCCACAGTGGTAACAATCCATCGTATCTTCATACATGGTGACTGTCCCGTAGGGAAACAC